AGTCTTCCGACAAGGATCTCAAACTCCTTTCTAAGGTTCCTGGATACCACGTAGCTCACATTTCTTCTGCCCCTAGTTATGAGTCCCTTGATCCAAAGAGCAGGCTTTCTGGCTTCCCAGAGAGGAGTTAAAGGAGAGGCTTTGATCTCTCGAGTCAATGTGTGTAGAGGACCATGGTTAATGCTAGTGCAGCAGAAAAAGCATATGGAGCGATGGTATGGTGTTCCTTAATGTTCAGGTTCAAAGTTTATTTTATTTATGGAGCTTAAGCTCAACATTTTTTTTAAAAAAATCTAAAAAAGAGCTAGAGAGATGTCTCAGGGGTCATAAGCACTTGCTCTTGTGGAAGACCAACGTTCACTTCCCGAACCCACATGGAGGCTCGTAACCATTTTGGTTCAGGTTCCAGACATCCTGATACCCACTTCTGGTCTCCATGATACATCAGGTACCCAGTACATGCTGCAGGCGGAATAGTCACACACATAAGGTTTTGTAACGATCTAACTTACTTCTTACCTGCTTGCAATAACGTTCAGGTTTCTGGGGTTCTTTGGGCAAGAATAAGTAACTACGTGCTAACATTCTTTAAGGGCTTACTATATTCCAATGAATTATTTTGCTTCGTTTCAGAATAGTTAACGTCATGATCCACCTTTCAGAGGAACTTATGTTAGAAAAGCCAGTTTGCCTGAGAACCCACAGCAAGTGGAGCTGGAATTTAAATCCTGACAGCTCTGGCTGCACAGCGCGTGCTTTTGTCTTCCGTGCTCTCTTGCAGCAGCAAATTGATATGGTCTGAGTCACCCATATGAGTTCAGTGTGTAAATGTCTGCTTGTCCACATATGAATTATGCACTCATTCAGCAACTCTCTGGACATTTGCTGTATACCCTTGCCAGGTGCTTGGCCAAATGGAAATCATTCCCTCAAGGAATGCGTCTACCAGAGAAGATGACATGTATTGAGATAACTATGACATGACATGGGCGTTGATAAGAGCTATGAAATAGACTCACACACACACACCAAAGGGGGGAAAATCTATTGGCATTCAGAAAAGGGAGAGAATTTTCTATTTTGGGAGTTGAAAGGCTCAAGGAAAGGTAGCATTTGATTTGGGCTTTGATAGATGGGAAGAGTTTAAGCATGAGACAGTAAGAAAATAGGTATTCCAACATGAAAGAATGTGGAAATAATGACCCAGAGAGGCCTGCCACAGAAAAGCGTGCCACAGAAAAGCAAGAAAGGAGAATCCGTTTCCTTTTTCTATTCTTGATTTTCTGTGCTTTGCTTTGTTCTTTTAACACAGGTTGGCCTCAAACCCCCTGTGTGTCTGCATAGCTGAGGACAATGCTGAGTTTCCAACTGTCCTCCCTCCACCCCACAGGGGCTGGGATTACGTGTGCACCCAGTCATGCCGAACTAGCAGAATTCCAAGAGGCAGGAGCTCGCCCTGGACACTGAATATATTACTTTTAAGTTCTCCAGACATAAGTGTCTGTTTCAGTGTACCCACGCATTTTAATTCCTTCTCCTCTTCATCCAGCGTCTCCCTCCTCACACATGCGGGCTCAAGAGACACCAGTGCGGGGCTTGAGAGGTGGCTCAGTGCGTAAAGTGTTTGCTTCCTTCCGTGGCCAGTTTTATGTCAGCTTGACACACGCTAGAAATAACATCATTTGAGAAAATGCCCCCATAGCATTTTCTTAGTGATTGATAGGGGAGGGCCCAGCCTATTGTGGATGGTGCCATTCCTAGGCTGGTGGTTCTGTAACTAAACAGGTTGAGTAAGCCATGGGGAGCAAGCCAGTGTAGCAGCTCCCCTCCATGGCCTCTGCATCAGCTCCTGCCTCCGGGCTCCTGCCCTGTCTGAGTTCCCATCCTGACTTCCCTCAGTGATGGACTGCAGTGTGGAAGTGTAAACCAGATAAACCTCCCCGGCTTTCTTTTGATCACAATGTTTCATCACAGCAACAGTGACCCTGAGAACGGTCTAAGCCTTAGGACCTGAAAAGTCCATGGAGCAGCCTTCACCTGTAATCCCGTGCTGTAAGGCAGAGATGGGATGATCCCTGCTGCCCAGCCAGGGAGCTCCAGACTCAGTGTTGTGAGGAGTGACACTTGATGCTGATCTTTGCTGATGTGTGTGTGTGTGTGTGTGTGTGTGTGTGTGTTTTAGATCTTATTATGGCCTCCAAACTGCTTTAAATGCTGAAGACAAATTGCCATGTGCTGGCTTTCTTTCTTCAGGGTCCGGGACAGTCTAGTATACAGAGTTAAGGGATCGGAGGTATGCTAGAGACATGTACTCGGAGTAGAGACGACACAAGAGTTAGTGCCAGCTCTGAGGATGGCGACTAGGGGATGCTTGCAAAAGAGGAAACACATCTTAGCCCAGCACCTTCTAAAGCAAACAGGATTAACCCACATGTTATCACTTTAAAACTAAAATTTAAGCATGGTCACACATCCATGTATCTCTTGTGTATGTGGATACTTGTTACTCAGTTTGGTCTTTGCAATTAATCTATTCTGTAAATCTACAATGTATATGTTTGCATTGTTTCCACTCTTCCTACTAATACTGTTGGAGTACATGTGCAGACACATGCATAGCAGAGACACACATGTACATATGCAGACACATGCATAGCAGAGACACACATGTACATATGTATGTTCTCTCCTAATACTGTTGGAGTACATATGCAGACACATGCATAGCAGAGACACACATGTACATATGCATGTTCTCTCCTAATACTGTTGGAGTACATATGCAGACACATGCATAGCAGAGACACACATCTCTTGCATCGCAGTAAGACAGCCTTAGAAATAAACTAGGAGATATAAGCACTTAATTTATAACGTCTAGAAATGTTTTTTCCTACATACCCGTGCAAAAAAAAAAACTGGAGCCGCCAATCTTCTTAAGCTGCTATATTAATAAATACATTATTTCATTGTTACATATATGCTTAAATTAGAATTTGAGTATTACTGAAGTTTGGTAGCTTTTCATGTCTGCTGGTCAGTTTTATTTGTTCTGTGGTGTAGTTGCTCTTGAGATCTCTGTTAGCCTGTGCGTGCGAGCTGGGGGAATGTTTCATGGGTGCTAAGGAACGCAGCCGACTACTAAGTCAGAAACCAAAGGCTGGGTTAGCAGACAGCCCAGCAAGCAGGGTGAGCGTCACACTAGCAGACAGCCCAGCAAGCAGGGTGAGCGTCACACTAGCGGACAGCCCAGCAAGCAGGGTGAGCGTCACACTAGCGGACAGCCCAGCAAGCAGGGTGAGCGTCACACAGCCCAGCAAGCAGGGTGAGCGTCACACAGCCCAGCAAGCAGGGTGAGCGTCACACTAGCAGACAGCCCAGCAAGCAGGGTGAGCGTCACACTAGCAGACAGCCCAGCAAGCAGGGTGAGCGTCACACTAGCGGACAGCCCAGCAAGCAGGGTGAGCGTCACACTAGTGGACAGCCCAGCAAGCAGGGTGAGCGTCACACTAGCGGACAGCCCAGCAAGCAGGGTGAGCGTCACACTAGTGGACAGCCCAGCAAGCAGGGTGAGCGTCTTGCTTTCTAACACGGGCTGTGCAGAAGGCCCTGGGGATGCTGTTGTGCAGGGGACACTGGGCACAGATGAGGGAGGTGTGGGTTCTTTCATATGCTTCCCCGCTGGCCTACCAGAGCTCTCTCTGGTCTGAACGATAGTGCCTGATCACTCATTGAGTCCTGCCTTTTCATATTTGACCTTTATCAGCGGCGTACTTTCCTGATTGCTGAATTTTGTTGTGTACATAGCAATACGTGGTTGTTTCAAAGTCAGACTGTAGCAGCTCTCTTTTCCCTTACTCGTTCCCCTGTGGTCTTTACTGGTTTACTGTATTTGCGTCTGTGTGAGCAGCGATGTGGGGTCTCGTTTGGTTTCCCCCTCACTCTCCCATCTTCCATCTCCCCACTGCGCGTCTGCGAGTGTCCCCTTCCTTCATCCGTACTCGCCGCCCACTGCTTAGCTGTTCTCTCCTTTAATCTGCTTCTGTTTTAACTTGGGTCGTAGCTTCTGAGTGCTGCAGTTTTAGAAAAATATGTATAGAGTTTGTTCTCCATTATTTTTCTGTTATATAGAAAACTGTGGGTGTTTTTACTATTGAGTGACTTTTTTCCTTTTTAAAGGTTTTTTATGTGAATTAGAAACAATCTATTTTACATATCAATCCCAGTTCCCTCTCTCCCATCCTCCCTTCCCCCCCCTCCAACCTCCCATCCCATCTCCCTTTGCTCCCCAGGGAGGGTGAGGCCTTCCTTGGGGGATCATCAAAGTCTGTCATGTCATTTAGGGCAGGGCCTAGACCCTCCCCAGTGTGTCTAGGCTGAGAGAGTATCCCTCCATGGGGAATGGGCTCCCAATGTCCTAGATTGCCCAGACCTCCTAACTGACTCCCACGCTCAGGGGGCCTGGTTCTGACCTGTGCTGGTTTCCCAGCTGTCAGTCTGGGGTCCCTGAGTTGAGTAGCTTTTTAATGAGTCTTCTAGAGTAAACAAGGTTAATGTAACTGAAAAGGGGTATCCTCCAGCATTCTTTTGAATCTTTATCTTCTTACCACATCATGAGGTCATAACTTCTCTTAGGGTTTAATTTGCATTTCAGTGAGTACAAAGCATAGTTTTATTTTTATTATTTTTACATTTTATTTATTTTATGCACACTATTGTTTTGCCTGCATGTGCACATATGTATCATGTATATGTACCCTCAAAGGTAAAAAAAAAAAAGGGTTCCCATCTCCTGGGGTCGGGCTACAGACAGTGTGAGCTGCCGTATTGGTGATGGGTCGGGTTACAGACAGTGTGAGCTGCCGTATTGGTGATGGGTCGGGTTACAGACAGTGTGAGCTGCCGTATTGGTGATGGAGATTGAGACTGAGTCCCCTGCTAGAGCTCCAGCCCCAGGGTTTCTCATTTATAACTTCTACTTTCTCTTCCTTTTCCTCTAGGTCCCTTGTAGTTTGGAGTACTGGGATGAACTCCAGAAGGTTTTTGTTGCCTTTCGAGAATTCAGCCTGTCCGAAAGCAAAGTCTGTGACCTGCAGTTGCCAGACATCAGTCTTGTGAGTGACCAGAAGAAGCTGGTGTCGTCAGACCTGTGGAGAATCGTCCTGAACAGCAGTCAGAGTGCAACAGACGACCAGAGGTAACTCTCACAGAGGCAGCTGAGAGAGGCAGCCATCACCTGTCCTCCAGGCCTCCTTACCCAGACGTAGCGTGGACAGCTAGTAGGCACATGCCCGAATTAGAGACAGAAAACAAAGAAAAGCTCGGTTGTGCTGTTTGACAGTCTGGGCTTCACTCATAATGCAGTCTGAGAACCTGTTACCTAATGTAAAGTGAAAACAAAGTCAGCCAAACAGAGCAATCCATCATCCTGGACCCAAAAATACAGAGAAGATAGCCTCATGAGCTCTGCATGTAGAAATCCGTATGATACAGGAAGATCACATAAATGTATTGTCTACATGGAAAGTCAAACTTTGAAAATATATTTATTCATCTTTAGATTTTTTTTAAAAAACTTTAAGAGGTCAACCTGCAGACACCAGGAAAATTTGACCAACCGAGGTCAAATAGCTGATGTCCACAGCCATGAACTCGCGTTGGCCCAGAAGCTGTAAGCTCCAGAGACCTTGACTCTTGTCTCCAGAGCTTCCTGGTCCACACTGTAATTCCAGATTGTGCCCATTCCTAGTATTTGCCTACTTGGTGTATTTATAGACGTAACCTGGAGAAAAATGACTCCAGGGGGCTATTCGGCATGTCTCCTGGCTTACATGCCCTGCTAAAAGGGCGTTCATGAAAGGTGAGAAAGAGAATGTGAGCCTCAACCAAGGGACCCTTCCCTGGGCCGTGTGCGCAGTGAGTCCCCGCCCTGTGTGTGTGCAGTGAGTCGTGCAGTGAGTCCCCGCCGTGTGTGCAGTGAGTCCCTGCCGTGTGTGTGTGTGTGTGAGCAGTGAGTCCCCACCGTGTGTGCAGTGAGTCCCTGCCGTGTGTGTGTGTGCGTGTGTGTGTGTGTGTGCAGTGAGTCCCTGCCGTGTGTGTGTGTGTGTGTGTGTGTGTGTGTGCAGTGAGTCCCCGCCGTGTGTGTGCGCGCGCAGTGAGTCCCCGCCTGTGCACAGTGAGTCCCCGCCGCGTGTGCAGTGAGTCCCCGCCGTGTGTGTGCGCGCAGTGAGTCCCCGCCGTGTGTGCAGTGAGTCCCTGCCGTGTGTGTGTGTGTGTGTGTGTGTGTGTGCAGTGAGTCCCCGCCGTGTGTGTGTGTGTGTGTGCGCGCGTGTGCGCGCAGTGAGTCCCCGCCGTGTGCACACTGAGTCCCCGCCGTGTGCACAGTGAGTCCCCGCCATGTGCACAGTGAGTCCCCACCGCGTGTGCAGTGAGCCGCTGCCGTTCTGTCCTTCCGGGGTCTTCCTTCTGGTCCTCCTCATGGGTTAGCCTTGGTGCTTGCTGCCTTAGTGCTCGCCAGGCCCCTCCCTTTTCTTCCTGGATAACAGCCAGCCGCAAATGGAAGGGAGACATCCCGCTCCAGTGCTTCTCAGATCCAGTGTTGTTTTGTTTTCTGTGTGTGACTTTGATTCCGCACAACACAGCACGTCGTGTCGTGCTGCTCTCTACTCATGTTGTAAATAGTGGCAAATGATCTTTCTTCTCAGAGTATTTATTGCTGTCAATAATCTGTGCTTGTTGAAGCAATTACACTGAAGTAGCTCTGGTTAGCATTCTGGTCTGTAGCCTCACAATCTCTTCCATTGACTACATTGTATGTTTCATAATAGTAATGCTTTTTTTTTAACTTTTTGTATTCTATTTCCAGGTTATCTAGTCTCTTTAAAAATAATTACCTTATTTGGCTGGGCGGTGGTGGCGCACGCCTTTAATCCCAGCACTCAGGAGGCAGAGGCAGACAGATCTCTGTGAGTTCGAGGCCAGCCTGGTCTGCAGAGCGAGTTCCAGGACAACCTCCAAAGCCACAGAGAAACCCTGTCTCAAAAATCCAATGATAAAAATAATAATTACCTTGCACCATATCACCTAGTAACATATTGTCAGTGAAAGTATATGTGAGAAGTAAGGTCTTGATTTTACCACAAGTAAAAGAGCACCGAGCCTCCAGAGGAAGATGGCTTTGTCAGGGTGGAGGTGATCTCATCACAAAGCAGGAGACTTCCGAGAATGCGCTGGGGACAGCTCGCTACTCGTTTACAGCTGTTTCATTAACAGTATCAAGTTAGAAGATTTCTTGATTTAATTGTGGAATAATGCATTTTCACCATAGAAAGCTCTCTGGGCAAGGTCAGTCCCTCTGCCTCCAAAGCTTTCATAGAAATTCCGTTGCAGTGACTTTGGCACTGCCAAAGTGCGACATCCTCAGAGGATAGGGATGCGTTCAGCCAGTCAGACACAGGCTCTTTTCCATCCAGCTGTCGGCATTGCAATCACAGACCTTTGGCCCTTGCCAGGGGATTTTCACATTACCTAATATTTTGCAGTTAATCTTATTTTGAATTGTTTGGGATGAATACCTTTTCAAGTACAAACTGGTATTAATGAGACTTAATTATAACTGGTGTAAGATCCAACATAATAAATCACTACTAATATCGAACTCGCGTTGGGAAAGGCAGTTAATTCTGGTCTCCAAATGGAGGCGGTGAGCCAAAGGAAGCAGAGCAGGGGAGGAGACGCTCTGCGCTGAGGACACTCTGGACAGGGCACAGCTACAGACTGACACTGAGAGGCCCTCACACGGAGTGCCGCAGGAGCCGCGGTGCGGTGACCTGCACGCGTGTTGCCGAGGCGGAGGCAGCAATGTGTGCTCCGTCACGTGAGGATGCGAGGCGCGCAGTGGATCCAAAGACAGCCGCGTGCTGAAGAGGGTTCCGCAGGGCCCGCTGAGCGCGGAGAAAATGCTTGCCCACGCTGTTAGGTTCGGATACCCAAGAGAATAGTCTGAGAGGCTGCGTCGAAAAGCGTGGCGAGGTTGAATCGGTGGGAGTTACGGAAGAGGAGCAGAAGGGAAAGGGGACCTGCTGATTTGTAACTTTTGGTGAAACGCATTTGGGAAGTGGAAATGGTCCCTCCTAACCCAGAGATGTAGTCTGCTGGAGCACAAAAGACCACGGAGGCGGCCATGGGAGCGTTCAGTGGGAGAGGAGGCCGTGACGGCAGCGGTGGTGGCAGCGCAGGTGGCTGTGGAGGCGATGGTGGAGGACGCGATGGTTTCAGAGGCCATGGCGGAGACTGTGGCGGCGGCCCTCGCTACAGCAGTAGAGGAGGCTGTGGTGGTGGGCATGCCGGGTAAAATTAACTGGTTGTAGTAGCAGGGGGAGGGTGCTGCGGTGGCCAGGCAGCGTCTGGAAACGAAGGTGGCAGAAACGCGGGGCAGGGGGAGGATATACATGGCGGTCTCAGTGAAGGAAGGTCGCCATGGTGGGGGCGGAAACCATAGCGATGTTTGAAGTTGTAGCAGCGGACGACTGCAGTCAAATTAGGGTCTCCTTGTGGGGACAGCGTTGGTGGAGGACACTCAGGCGGTCCCAGTGGTGGCGACTGTGGATCTGGCGGTACCAGCGCTGGCTGTGGCAGCAGAAGGCTCTTTCTTTCTTTCTTTCTTTCTTTCTTTCTTTCTTTCTTTCTTTCTTTCTTTCTTTCTTTTTTTTTTTTTTTTTTTTTTTGGTTTTTCGAGACAGGGTTTCTCTGTGGCTTTGGAGGCTGTCCTGGAACTCACTTGGTAGTCCAGGCTGGTCTCGAACTCACAGAGATCCACCTGCCTCTGCCTCCCAAGTGCTGGGATTAAAGGCGTGCGCCACCAACGCCCGGCTCTTAAGAATGGTGGAAAGGGGCTGCAGCTCTCCCAGGAGAGGGCGGGATCGGCAGGAAAGCTGCAGGCTTCTTTGAGACAGTCTCCCAAATGCACTGGAGGAACCGTAAAATCTTCCACGGTCAGAAATGTCACTGCAGCTTAAGCAGAAAGCCCTTCTCGCTGAGGACTGCATGGTGAGGTGCAGTGTGTGGTCAGAGAGGTTGCGTTCCTGAGGTCTTTCATCTGCCTTGGCTGTGTCTATTCCATTCTCTCTTCGTTACACCCTGTATCATGGTAGTTGTACCAGGAATCAAAAATTAAGGAACTTTCAGCTTTTCAGTGTTTGTGTAGCTCAGTATTTCTACATTTTAGTGTAGAGACTTTAGCAAAATGGAGTTTTGAAGATCTTTTCTTGTGAGTTAATTTTTGCATTAATTTTCCTAAGGTTAACTATAGAAAAACACCTGCTGACTTGTAGGTTAAGGGGACCCTATCCCCATTTCCAAAACCATGATGAATGGGCGTGATATATGGGAAGAACAGATATTTGTATTTTTGCAATGTGCACCATTAATAATTAGGGTTGGGTAATTAAATTAACATGTTTGTGGATTTAATAGTGTTAAGATTACCTTAAAATGAAAAAAAATTACAACAAAAGTTCCCGCTTGACTTCTGTGCATTTCTTTCTAAACATAATCGTGATTTTGGGTGTGTTCAGAGCATCCCTGTTCCACGTTTGTGAGGTCACGTTGAAACAGCTGGCGGCAGTTTGGGGGGTGACACATGTCTGTTGCTCTCTGCTTGGATTCTGGAAAGGGACAATAGATGTTTCCCACCACCCACCCAAGCATTCTTAACTGGTGACATGGACCACCGAGTACCTCTGAGCAAACTCGGGGTGCCTGGTTCTATTCTGTTTCCAAGTTTTACGGCTCAGAGGCTGCACACCAGGTCCATACACCTCCAGTCACTTTCCTTTGCTTAGGTATGTTTGTTTGTTTGGTTGGTTGGTTTTTGGTTTTTGGGTTTTTTTGGGGGGGGAATGGGGGTTTCCCATACAAGTTTTCACAGCAAAAGAATAAAAGTCACTTGTTGAACACTTAACTTTCCAGCACACTTTTCCCGCTTGTCCCCTACGCATTTTGCTGGATGGAACCAGGGATAATTCAAGTGTCACTGTCCAAAATAAGTGTAGCACAGCCACTCAGTGCGAGCCTGCCACTTGCCCATATCCCATTTGGAAAGTGTCCGATTGCCTGAGAACTCTTGATGCCTCTATGTACTTCAACCCAAAACGCGATGCCGTGACTCAGTGAGTTTGGAAGGCCCCGAGTGAATGAAGTTTAGAATGTAAGGTCATCTATCTGCAAAGCCATGTCTGTCCTGCTCCAGTTATCACTTAGCAATTTCATTGAAGTCCTAAGTGGATGGCCTGCTGTTACTCTTTCTTTGGCAGTTGAACGCTGAGTTCCAATTTTTACTTGGGTGTTGTTGTTGTTGTGTTTTTTTTTTTTGAAGTGCTAAGCAAAACAAGCAATAAAAAGGACAGGGAAAAAATAAATCACCATTAAAACATTTTCCAAAAAAGAATATGAATACATTTTATGCAATTTCTAGAAGGAAAACATCAATCCTTTGAAAATGGAAAATGTGTCAGCATTCCATGCAAGGGCTGAGCTGTAGTTCTGTGGTGGAGTGTACATGGCATGTACAAGAGCTGGGCCGTAGTTCTGTGGTGGAGTGTGCATGGCATGTACAAGAGCTGGGCTGTAGTTCTGTGGCAGAGTGTGCCTGGCATGTACAAGGCCCTAGGTTCTCTTTCAAGCACCGAAACAACAAAAACTTGCATGTGTAAATAGATGCTTGTGTGGTTAGTACTGATATCTCTGTCACATGGGATCTAAATGTGAACCAAACTCCAGCAGTCTTACGACTGGAGATTTTCTTACCATAACCCTCTCAGTGATTTAAGACCTGGGCCGTCAGTGAGTGAAGCTGGAAGACCCTGGCCACCAGTGGGGGGTTGGCTTTGAGAAGGTCCGCAACCCTGAGAATTTGATGCGCCTTTCAAATATTACTCTTCACATTTGAAACTACTTGTCACCCATTCCTAGTCACAGTGTCGTTATCCAGGGTTTACAGAAGAAAACCTTCCCTCTCTCGGCCGCATCTAACCCTGTCTCTTTCCTTCTCTCCCCGGGATGGACGCGTCCTTTCGAAACCTTTTGCTGATTCCTTTCTGCTGACGATTGATCTCACCAGGAATTTGCCTTTTGCCATGTAATCCTTCTCCCATGCACATTCCAGGGCAGTCAGTGTTCACCAGTTCTCGCTGAAAGCTCTGAGCTGACGGCACACATGCACGCACGTGCGAGCACACGCACGTACACACACACAAGCATGCATGCACACATGCACACACACATACACTAAACCAGTAAATATGCCTGTCATATCTCCAGCAAACCCTTCCTGTTTTAGATGTGTTTACCGGGTTCCAAAGAAGATAGCGTTGGTAATGTTAGGTTTGTGTCCAGACCTTTGAAACATAACACCTGTAGGGAGTAGAGAGCGTGTGGTGCCGAGGGCAGAGCCCCTCGTGTGTCCCTATCCATTCAGTGCTCTTCCAGGATAGACAGAGCAGGGTGGAGGCAGGAAATGATGCCCACAGGGGCCTATGCCAGTGTGGGACCCAGAGTCCAAGGATAAATGTGAGATACGTGGTCTGTTTATGCTTTGTTTTGCCTGGGGAGGGGCAGTTCTACCATTAAATGCTACCATTTATTGTAGTTTGTATACAGTATCTCATCTGATACTCAAGAAGTAAATGTAATTACTGTTTTCACACCTAAGACTAAACCAGGTCAAAGTAACTTATGAATTACTACTCGAACTGCATGATTTTCAAACTAGCTAATCTCACCCTGTCCACTCTGCCTAATCGGTTTGTCATATTATAAAAGCATATTAACACATGGAGATGCAGAGACCAACCCAGGGCTTCATTGGTAAGACAGATTATTGTTGGTAGATGAGCCACTTGTAGGAGTTCACTCCAAGAGAGTTTATATGAATGAATTTGTAGATACTATATGTGGCACCCACAGTGCCATTAAGATGGGGTCAGCTGACATCTGACATTCTGAATTCCCCCTTATTTAAGCATTTGCAAGCTTCTATAGTAACCCTTTTGCTACCCTGGAGAGACAAGCCTGTAAGATCCCTGCTGTGTGTTCTCTGGGCTGTTTTCTAAACGTCTGCATTTACCACTGAACTTCAAGGTATTCGGCACAGTGCTGGACCATGGGCTCTGCCTGACTCCAGAGCTATTACTTATAGGAGCTGTTTTCCCAGCCTGTTGGAAGTAAGCAACATCAAAGCCCTGTAAACACTCTGGTCATGAAGACAGTGTTAAAAATAAACAGTGTGGATTTCGAGGTCTTACTTTTCTATTCCGCCTGTTTCCTATAGCTTCCTTTCTGTGGTATGTTAAGAGCAGGGACAACTAATAGACCACTCCTCCTACAGGTAAACATTTTTAATCCTGGCGATGAAATGTCATTTGAAACCTCACACACAAGTTCGTAGGAAGTTGCTTGACCCAGTATTCCCACTTAGAGATACCCCAAGAATTCCTCATGTCGGGCACAGTAATGGACACCGGCAGGAGGACCGGGAGTTCCAGCCTGGGCAGCTTTATCTTAAACAAATCATAGCTTCATTTTTGTGCACAGTGTCTGTTCAGTTATGGCGTGCTGGAGTTTGTATTTTGTTCGTAGTCGGTGTCAAACTGTTAGCCTTCCACGTAAGTGGAAACTGCAGTTAAGACAGCTTAGTCCTCACCAGACTTTTCATAACCACTTTCAAAAGGCACACACACACCTCAGAGCGTCCCACACATCCATGCCGTCATTCTGAGTGCTCTCCCTATCTGTGTCCACTCCCTCCCCCAGGAGATGGTTCTGTTGTGTAATGTGTGCCAATGTGTCACCAGTTGGGTGTGAGTTTGATGGGGGAAGTCCGTCTGTGTATATGTTTATCTGACTGGTTGATGAATAAAGCACTGCTGGCCAATAGGGAAGCAAGATAGGTGGGACTAGGAGCCAAGGAGGATTCTGGGAAATGTAGTCAAGAATAGAGAGTCGCCATGTGATCCCGGGAAGAGAGGACACATGAGGCTGCATCCTCAGAAAATAAGACCTTATTATATAATATATATATATATTAGTAATTGTGGGTTAATAATTAAGTCAGAGCTAGCCATTAAGAAACCACAGCAAACGGCCAACAGCTTCATAATTAATCTAGTGTCTCATGTGTTATTTGGGGGCTGAGGCAGCAGCGAGACCCAGACCCAGGCAGCTGGTGAGAAGAAGGCTCATTACATATGGCGCCTAACGTTGGTTGCATGAAAATGTGTGCAAACGTGTCACCAGTGGGTGTGAGTTCTTTGAAGGCCAAGGACTTAACTCTTCTGACACTGGGTCACTGCACCCTTCATTTTAACCAGACCACATAATTTTATAGGATAAGCAAGTGAAGAGAGGATTCTGTAGTGTGATTGGCCACAGGGCCACTTTCTTAGCACATGGTCATGACTTTATGCCACGTAATGCAGTATTCAGTGGGTCTTTAGTAAGGAGTATAGACTGATTCACAGAATGCAGGTGTGGGTTAGGAGTATAGACTGATTCACAGAATGCAGGTGTGGGTTAGGAGTATAGACTGATTCACAGAATGCAGGTGTGGGTTAGGACTATAGACTGATTCACAGAATGCAGGTGTGGGTTAGGAGTATAGACTGATTCACAGAATGCAGGTGTGGGTTAGGAGTATAGACTGATTCACAGAATGCAGGTGTGGGTTAGGAGTATAGACTGATTCACAGAATGCAGGTGTGGGTTAGGACTATAGACTGATTCACAGAATGCAGGTGTGGGTGGTATGGAGAAGTTGATGATGAGACATTTGTGCTGATACAGGAAGTTTGAGGTTTTTAAACAGCAGAGCCGTGGTCAGAATTGTGTTCTCTCTACACCCGTATGACACCAATCTGTCCATAAGTTTTGTGAAGTGAGTATAGGAAAAAATTGGATTTGGTCTAAGTCAACGTGCATGGAGGCCGAAGAATAGTTTGAAAAGTTTTCTGCAAAGAGTATTGCAACGTAAACTGAATTTAAAAAGAACTCTTGTGTGTGAGTAACACATGATACTTGATGATTAATATATGACTGTAGGATTTTCAGCCCAGGCTATAAAGGCCTTTTAGGAAGACATCGTGCTTCTGCAATATCAGGGAATGGCGGTTGCTGAGCTGTTTTTGTTCCCACAGCTCTGCCAGTGAATCTGGCTCTCAAAGTACCTGCGAGCCACTGGTGACCCCAACAGCCCTGGCCGCTTGCACCAGAGTCGACTCGTGTTTCACCCCCTGGTTTGTCCCGTCTCTTTGCATGTCCTTCCAGTTCGCTCACCTGGAGTTGCGTCTTTGTCACCATCTGGACCAGCTTGGCACAGGTATGTGTGACTTCAGCACCGAGAGAACACCTACTCGGTAGCACCATGGTACTAAGTGTCCCCCACACAGTGCCTTACCTTTCCTGCACCAGGCCTGGGCAGCAGCAAGACTACTCTAAAGCTGATCTGGTGCAGCAGGAGTAGCCCCTACTCCTCGCCATGCATTATAGTTGCATGGTTTTTTTTGTTTTGTTTTGGTTTTTGGTTTTTTTTTTTTTTTTTTTTTTTTTGGTTTTTCGAGACAGGGTTTCTCTGTATTGTTTTGGAGGCTGTCGGACCAGCCCGGCCTCGAACTCACAGAGATCCACCTGCCTCTGCCTCCCGAGTGCTGGGATTAAAGGCGTGCGCCACCACCGCCCGGCGATAGCTGCATGTTTTGACATGTTTCCTAAGAGGACTTTCAAGGAAGTTTTTTTTTAACTGCCGATTTTATTGTTATTGAAATTATATTTTTTTAAAGAAAGACATGTTTTAGTCTGTATTCTACATTAGTGGGAAATAGATCCCAACAGTACCTGGTGTTTATCCCCTGAGTTCAAGGTGCCTATTCTGTAATAGATGGGCACATCCTCCTTAAATTACAAGACTCACATTTTTACACATTTAAAAAGAATATGAATAAGTTTTTCCCACTTGGCAAAAGTAGGCGCCTATAAATTCCCAGCGTTACTTGGATAGTTATTTCCCACACGTTGTGTTCAGTGTCAGTGCTTTTCTGGTTAATACAGTTTGAGTTAGATTTTGGGTTTTCAACCTTCATGTCATGGGAAAGCGGGGAGACTGAAACTGTGGGCATAGCTGCTGTTGAGCGCCTTGCCTTCTCAGCAGGAACAGAGCTCAACCGTCTTTTCCCGAGTCGTGTCTTCGCTGCTTACAGATTCGGGTGACTGTCGTCTCTGTGATCAAAAATGTTCTCAGCCGGGCGGTGGTGGCGCATGCCTTTAATTCCAGCACTCGGGAGGCAGAAGCAAGCGGATCTCTGTGAGTTCGAGGCTGGGCTGGACCGACAGCCTCCAAAACATACAGAGAAACCCTGTCTCGAAAAACCAAAAAAAAAAAAAAAAAAAAAAAAAAGAGAGAGAGAAAGAGTTGATTGAACAAAACAATGTATTTGCAAGTGTCAAATGGTAATTCAAAGTTTTTAACATCTTCAAATCAATTGTTTAAATTTGTGAATACCAAGCACAAAATTCAAGACCAAAGTGATTCATTTAAAAGTCACCTCATTTGTTCCCTTGAAGGTTTGGCATATCCTGATTGCTCTTTGTCCTGTTTTCTTAAAAGCTCCACCACAGCACCTACAGCCCTTCATTTCCGATAAAAGCGTGCCGTCTGAACTAGAGTACATGGTCATTTCCTTCAAGGAACCAAACCTGTATCTTCGCCAGTGGAACAGTGACTCCGTCTGCCAGGAGATCCAGTTCTCATCTCAGGTGGACTGCAAACTTCTGGAGTGCAGAAATGTCACAATGCAAAGTGTGGTGAAGCCCTTCGGCATCTCTGGGCAGATGGCACTCTCCAGCGACGGAGAGCACAGGCTGCTGGACGGCACCGTGATCGTGGACTCTGTGCTCGTCAGCTTTGGACAGCATGCGGTCCATTCCCTAAACACTGCGATTCAAGCTTGGCAGCAGGTATGCACATCCCAGATCAGTCTGCAGTGTCGCCACGTGTGACCTGTTATCAGACACCAACTGTAAGTTAAACACTGCCCAGAATGTGAGAGAATGGAGGGCTGCGTGGGCGTCGCTGTATGCCAGCCTTCTCTGCTTAGGTAAAGTGGTGGCATACGAGGGTGTACACACACACATACACACACACACACACACACACACACACCCCAGAGGTCACGCCCATCCATTTAGGACTTCATCTGGGTGGAAAGTAACGTCTTCCCAGGGATTTTTCTCACAGTGCTGTGGCTTTATCTAGGGAAGCTTCAGCATCAGAGTCTGGATGTCCATTGCAGAAGTGAAGGGCTCCCAGGAGTCCTTCCAGATTCTCAGACAAAAGCATGAACGCACAGCGAGTAGAACCTGGAAATAGAGCGTCTAGCCCTTCCCTTGGCTGACATCCTGCCCTTTCGATTACTAGAATATTCTTATATTCATAGAGAGTTATAGTAACTTTTATAACTTTTCTTGTATTTTTATAAGAAATTATTCATATAAAAACAACAACCATAACAGGAAGATGTATAAACCAATGCTGACTGGATATTTAAAGTGGAAAGTCTGGCAGCATGGAAATGGTCCCACAGAGTGTTTGGAAGACAGCGTATCCAGAGACCCCGCCATAGGGGACAGCGCATCCAGAGACACCGCCATAGGTCACTTCTGCTTTTGCGCTGATTTGCGCTGCCCCATAGTGTTGAACTCACATCCAGTCACCATTTAAGCTGAGAATCCGTCCCTGTTTCGTTCACATTCCTAACACTTGTGTAGAGCTGGCTTCTGGGATAGGTCCTTCTCCTGCACCGACCTCTCCCGTGGCAGGTACGAGGAGGTGCTGGGAGAGACCTGCTTCTATAAAAGTTTCCTGGGGACAAGAAAGAGAACGTGGGGGGAATTTTTATGAGAATAACTTGAGGGTCCTTATGGAAATGGTTTTCATGAAATAAATAGTTCTAATTTTTTAAAGTTCTCTAACCTAAAATGTTTATGAGAATTAGATTTTATAAAAATAAAATTTAATGTTCACTTTAGATGCATGAAGACCTGTACAAGACTAAGGAATTAATTGCTTGACTTGGTACTACAATAGCAAAGGGAAGGAAGATAACACATCTGGTTTATATTTTAAGTCTTTTTTAAGGGCATTCCATGGTTTTCTTGTTGCAAAGGACATGCGTAAAATAAGAGCTAGTGCGATCTAAATCTTTGCAGCTGGTTCAAATAGCAATGTGAAAAAAACTTCCATAGCTCCAATTTCTAGGGGGTTTTATATATATATATATATTTTGAACAATGCATTTAATAAAAAACAAACGTAGAAAATAGAAAAGAATTCTTGATAGAGCATTTAAACCCAGGACTTTTTTCCCCTTCGTATCAGGGCTTTATAAGAAGACTCACATGTACCAACTACTGCAAAATGGCCTTCAAAATACCAGTTTTCTTCCCGAGAAAAAAATTATTCTCCTAGACACAGCTATACACATAAGTAAAATATAGCACACAAATATTTGAATGTTTGAAACCACATCAAACTGCAAATGACTGACGGCTGACACAGTGCCTTGCAGGAATATCCCATTAAACAGAGCCATGTGTCACCCAGCAGATTGCTGACAGGTACACTCTGTGAATTGTTGGTTCTGATTTACACAGGGATTTGGCAATGTTAACATGCGCCACAAGAGGATATGCTTCTGTAATTGTTGCTGTAATTTTCTTGTTTCCTCCCATGTCAAGGGTACTTGCCACCAAGCTTTAGTGTGGTAGGCGTCGAGCCCTGTGTATTCTAAAGTAAATATGAAAGTACACTACTTTGAACTCAGAGGACATTCAGCATTGAAATGGGCTGGGAGGGGCTTACTGCATTCGCTATTTCTGTCCTGGATGTAGCTCGCTGTGTTTAGAAGGAAGTTTATTCTGAAACTTGAATTTTAGTGTATGTTTAATAATGCTGATATATGGTATAGTTATGGACAATGAGAAATGAATTTAATAAGTAGAACAAGAGATTTTAGTTCTCCGTCTACTTTTTAAAATCAGATTATTATCAGACATAGCTCGCCCTTCACTTTCAGGTCATAGGTGCAAAACTGACAGAACTTTACATCAGTTTCTGCTTTCTATGATTATAGAGTGCTCCCCACCCTGTCTCTCTCGCTCTCTCTCCTCTTCCTCTTCTCCCTCCTTCCCCTCCTCCTTTCCCTCCTCCGTGTGTGTGTGTGTGTGTGTGTGTGTGTGTGTGTGTGTGTGTAAAACGATGATGGTTTCTTCCATGAAACTAAATTAAGAACTGAAAACACCTCTTTCTTTTTGCTTTCTGCGTCAGTTTCCCAGATTTGAACAGTAGCTTTAGATGGAGGTCACACTCACGTGTTTCCCTTATACCAAACGTCATCTCTCCCATGCAGACTCCTGCTCAACGTGACAGGAACTTGAAATATGAATAAGCCGTCTTTTAGCTACACGTCCTTGCAAGCATTCTGGGTCTTAGTGTAGATGATGTCACATAAGCGAATATACATGTTTTTATATAACAGAATCTAAAGCATCCCAAGAAATGTTGAAACTTATAAACTCCATAGATGAAGGCGCAGTTGAGAAACACTTCCCCAAGGCCCTCAAGTATTCTTTAGAAAAATGTAAACAACCCCTTTTTGTTCTTTAATTTACATTTTCCCCCTAAAACCTTCATCATTTATTAAACCCTCATCAGGTTTTAGGAATGAGGAGGAGCAAGGATACAATGTTTTTTCAACCTCCATCTGGTAACTTAACCTCTGCATTGAGACTGATCGCAGTTCATCGCCATGAAAACTGAATTTTAACCTCAGGGTGCGCAGCCGAGTGGGAATTGCAGCCAGGCCCTTTCCTTCACGTTTGTACTCTTGCATGGAAAGGAGAGAGAGATGTTTACATGGAGAGCAGTTTATTTTGATTATATAATACCAAGTGGAAAAACCTCATCAGAACTAATCCCACACTGTGATTCAGGTCTGATTAAAGCTTTTAGGTAAATGCATTAAGTAGGATTGGGTAGGGCAGGCCTAAACAGCAAGAGCTGGACACTCAGAGAGGAAGATCACTCGAAGAAACCCTTCCAAAACTGACCGTCTAAATTCACCTTTTACCTGTTTTCCTAGTTTTTATAAAGTCAGCATGTTTTGCCACTATAATTATTAATGTTAGCCTAGGGTGTGGTTCATCGGCAGAGCGTTTCCTGGTGTGCACCTGGCCCTGGGTTCAATTCCCAGCACAATCAGAAAACATACACTGCTTGTTTTCGTTGTTTGTTTCCTAAATGTTTGTTGAGTACTCAAGCGTCGGGAATTACGAGGAGTATTGGAGGTAAACGTGTAAAGGATCCAGGTCCTGGCCCTTCCCACAGGCAGCAAGCATAGCCTCCAGTAGCGGGCAAACTAACAAGTCACGTCAACATCAAACAGGGAGGCCTGCCCAGGCCAGGGGAGGTCTCAGAAAGCTGCTTTGAGGCACTGGCATTACACACAGGAATCTGTGTGGTAGAATATTATTTTAAGGTGTGTGACTTTTGTTTATGCTGCATTTGTTTAACTTGGTGAAGCTGTGAGTCTTTACCTGTCTACAACATCTGGGGATCTAATAAAGAGCTGAACGGCCAATAGCGAGGCAGGAGCAAGGCTGGGCGGGGCTGGCAGACAGAGAGGATAAATTGAAGGAGGAAGGAGGAGGAGGAGGAGCAAGAAGAGAAAAAGGAGAGGAGGAACATCAGGGGCTAACCACCCAGCCACCCACAGAGTAAGAGTGAAAGTAAGATATACAAGAAATAGAGAAAGGTAAAAGCCCAGAAGCAAGAGATAGATGGGTTAACTTAAGAAAAGCCGGCTAGCAACAAGCCAATCTAAGGCCAGGCATTTATAAGAAATAATAAGCCTCCATGTGTGATTTATTTGGGAGCTGGGTGGCAGGCCCCCTAAAAAGCCAAAAAGAAGTAAAACATCACACAACAAACCTGCAAGCTGAGTACAAGCGAGGTGAACCAACAAGAGGTCCCAGCGGAGGGACGGGCCTGGGCCAGGAAGCAGCTGACATTTGACTGAATGAAGGGGTTGAGGGGAGCGTGCAGTTCCTGGGGAAAGGCAGGCGGCATCTGAAGCTCAACAGCAGGGCCTGTCTTCAGCTCAGGGCTAACGGGGAAAGCCGTGCCAGCGAGCATTCACGGCTGCAAGTGTCTGTCAAGCTGGGTTCTACACCGTAAGAACTGAGGAAGAAAGAAGTGATTGCGATAATGTTGGTAGTGTAACGGCGGTTGTGGTAATGTTGGTAGTGTAACGGTGGTTGTGGTAATGTTGGTAGTGTAACGGCGGTTGTGGTAGAGGTTGTGGTAATGTTGGTAGTGTAACGGCGGTTGTGGTAGAGGTTGTGGTAATGTTGGTAGTGTAACGGCGGTTGTGGTAGAGGTTGTGGTAATGTTGGTAGTGTAACGGCGGTTGTGGTAGAGGTTGTGGTAATGTTGGTAGTGTAACGGCGGTTGTGGTAGTGGTTGTGGTAATGTTGGTAGTGTAACGGCGGTTGTGGTAGAGGTTGTGGTAATGTTGGTAGTGTAACGGCGGTTGTGGTAGAGGTTGTGGTAATGTTGGTAGTGTAACGGCGGTTGTGGTAGTGGTTGTGGTAATGTTGGTAGTGTAACGGCAGTTGTGGTAATGTTGGTAGTGTAACGGCGGTTGTGGTAGAGGTTGTGGTAATGTTGGTAGTGTAACGGCGGTTGTGGTAGAGGTTGTGGTAATGTTGGTAGTGTAACGGCGGTTGTGGTTGTGATAGAGGTGGCGGTAATGTTGGTAGCGACAGTGGTTGTTGTAGTAGTGGTCTTCAAGGGTGCCTGGAGAATGAGTCCTGTTAAGGCCCCCAAACTATAGAGCACACACCTTGGGAGTGTTCTGCATGACTGGGGTTGGGTTCTGTTTCCCACAACTCTTTGCTGACGGAGTCGTGGATCTGGTCTCTGGCTGCCTGGGTACCACTGACATTCATCCGTACGTACACTCCTTGGGCTTCATGCTTCCCGGTCCCTTGGGCCATCCTCCTTCTGAGTTACCACACTCTTTACTTCCCCTCCCCTCAGAAAAGGAGCAAACTGATGCTGGCCAGAAAATAGAGGCCCAGTAGAAAAGTGTCTTCTAAGTGTTACCTCCCTTTACCTGCAAATCCATTAGCTACCTGGAAGTTTCCTTATATCCTCAAGGTGATACCTTTCTTAGTGGCACCTTTAGTGTCCCAGAAACATTCTGCTTGTTTTTAAGTCACAACCTGGGTGATAAAAACAGTTGCAGCCAGTGTTTTGATGTCAGAGCAGCCAGTAGGGACTCTTTAGGCTGAGAAACAGGTATCAGCATAGAAACCTAGTACTAATCAGATGAGCCTTTGCTGTTTAATGGAGCATATTAGCTACTGAGCTATTTGTTGAATGAAGCAGATACTGGGAACTTTTTCAGCTCACGTTATTCCTCTTAAAAACTGCAACTTGGCCATTAAATGGATCCTGGAGTTGATGTGTTTTCTATGTTCAGCCTCTTAACAATAGAGGGAAAGTTATGGTTTTATTTATATCTCTTCCTGAGCAGATTTATACACACACACACACAACACACACACACACACACACACACACACACACACACACACACACACACACACACACACACACCCTCTTAAGGATCCCAGGGTCATAGTAACCTAAATGTTTCTTACTTTCTGTAGGGTTCAAGCTGTGGCTTTGGTAATTGGCCTTGATTGTGGAGTTTGAGGGCTGGGAACATGGTAACTCTAGCCTCTGGTACTCTGCTCAGAAATGTTAAATGTTTGTGGATCCCATTGTTCTTTTCCTCTCCTGTGTGCGTGATTTGTTTTGTGGGAGAATAAATTGAAACACATTCCTGGAACGTTCAATGTCTTTAAGGTATTTTTGTTATGCTTATCCTGAAAGTATAGACTGTTTCTCTGCACCAGAGCTAATGACAACAGGTCCTTTAACATTTGTGTGCCGTAGCAATGGCCACTGGGCAGACAGCTGCCAAACATCTTGCAATTAATCTGATACACACATTGGCTTTCATATTCTTTTTCTTCCAGAACAAATACCCTGAGGCGGAGGAGTTGGTCTTCAGCCACTTTGTGATCTGCAACGACACACAGGAGACCCTGCGGTTTGGCCAGGTGGACACCGATGAAAATATTCTGCTGGCGAGCCTCCACAGCCACCAGTACAGCTGGCGCTCCCACAAATCCCCACAGGTATCCGCAAAGCAGTCTCACAAACAGCCATTGTTCAGGCCTGGGGCTTGTTTATTCTGCACTGACGTGTGTCCGGTTATCTCCCAGTGGAGTGGCATCCACTGGAAGCCCAGGAATGTTCAGAAGCCATGCTTCCCTCCCGGTGAGCCTGGGTGCCACTCAGGAAAGAGAGAGGCCTCTGGAGCTAATGCACGGAGGTCTGGGTCCTGTGCTGGGGAAGCGCCTGCACCTTCTGGGCTTTGGTTCCGGCATCTGCGGAGTGGGGATGCACAGGCCCTGATCTGTAGAAGGTGCTGGGTGCCGCCTCGTGTGCAGTCTGCGTATGCACTGAGCCTGTTACCCATTTGTGTGCTCAGAGTTCCTGTGTGTGCAGCCTTGGACCAGTACAGGCTTGCCAGTAGCAGTGCGGAGACAGAGAGGCACAGTGTGTGACTTCAGGGCCAGCTCGGGATCATGCAGCTACTCTAATGACAAACCATGCCCCGGGGAGCACTGAGAAAAGACAGGCAAAGGATGTGTGTTTCCCAAGCGGGAGGACTCCACTTTCCAGTCACTTTACATGCGGGTGATTAGAGGCGCGCCCTGCAGGGATGCTCTGAGGATGAATTAAATGCAAAGACGTGGTCTTAAATGAGAAAAAGAAAGCCTAGGAAGCATTCTCAAGAATAGTAAATTTCTAAAACTCTGGGTAATAAACTACTATCTGCTTGTGATTAAAAGTAAGTCACTAGCTTAGAGACCATGTTTTCCCATGTGGTCCATAGGTCTGCTCCTCCCTCAGGCTCCGCCTTTCCACTTCTCTCCTCTGTACCCCAAAGAGCTCGATTCTTATCTTCTATTTATTTTGAGTTTTTTTTTCACATGAAATCACCCCACTGTTATAGTAATTTGGAAACATAGATATATGAAATATTCTTTATCTAAATATCCTAATTTTAAATCTAACTAATGTGACAGGACTTTAAAACTCTAAGCTTTTGAGATATAAATTCTCTTCTTGGAGATTTGTTTTTACTATGTTTAATTCTGTGTGTGGGAGTGAGTAGGTGTGTGTATTTGAGTCCGGGTACCCACAGATGCCAGAAGCGTAGGATACCCTGGAGATGGAGTTACATACAGTCATGAGCTGCCTAGCTTAGACCCTGGGAACCGAACTCTGGAAGAACAATGCATTCCCTTAACCACAGAACCCTCTCTCCAGTGCCTTGTAGTATAAATTCTTACAAAAGCTCTCACACAATATGATATTGCACTCATAACTATATCCTAAATCATACATGTTTTCCATTTTTCCTCTTGAAAATGTTCCAGGTTAGTTTTCATTTATCCTGTGTGACATGATAGACATTGCATTTATTTCAAATTTTTCCTTTCGCCAGCTTTTTCTTATTGGTTGCAGAAGTTAGCAGCATACAGTTAACATACCCAGAACAAAGGCTTTTACCCATGCATTGCCAACTGTATCAACACTAGCTGAACAGGCTTTTAAGCCCTTTAAGTTTTCATGGTCACTGCATGCCCCGCAATACACTACCAAAGGCAGGAAGTAAGTAAGCCTCAGAGTAGCTACAATAACGTGCGGCTGTGTACTCTAGGATCACCTCACCCACACGGCCAACCGTGGGGCCCAGCTGACGGCGCAGAGCAGAGGACGCTCAGCCCTCTGCAGACACACCCCACCCCACCCTCTGCAGACACACCCCACCCCACCCTCTGCAGAGTCACACCCACCCCACCCTCTGCAGACACACCCCACCCTCTGCAGACACACCCCACCCCACCCTCTGCAGAGTCACACCCACCCCACCCTCTGCAGAGTCACACCCACCCCACCCTCTGCAGAGTCACACCCACCCCACCCTCTGCAGACACACCCCACCCCACCCTCTGCAGAGTCACACCCACCCCACCCTCTGCAGACACACCCCACCCTCTGCAGACACACCCCACCCCACCCTCTGCAGAGTCACACCCACCCCACCCTCTGCAGAGTCACACCCACCCCACCCTCTGCAGACACACCCCACCCCACCCTCTGCAGAGTCACACCCCACCCCACCCTCTGCAGACACACCCCACCCCACCCTCTGCAGACACACTCCACCCTCTGCAGACACACCCCACCACACCCTCTGCAGACACACCCCACCCCACCCTCTGCAGAGTCAGACACACCCCACCCCACCCTCTGCAGACACACCCCACCCTCTGCAGACACACCCCACCCCACCCTCTGCAGACACACCCCACCCCACCCTCTGCAGACACACCCCACCCCACCCTCTGCAGACACACCCCACCCCACCCTCTGCAGAGTCACACCCACCCCACCCTCTACAGAGTCACACCCCACCACACCCTCTGCAGAGTCACACCCACCCCACCCTCTGCAGACACACCCCACCCTCTGCAGACACCCCACCCCACCCTCTGCAGACACACCCCACCCCACCCTCTGCAGACACACCCCACCCCACCCTCTGCAGACACACCCCACCCTCTGCAGAGTCACACCCCACCCTCTGCAGACACACCCACCCCACCCTCTGCAGACACACCCCACCCTCTGCAGACACACCCACCCCACCCTCTGCAGACACATCCCACCCTCTGCAGAGTCACACCCCACCCTCTGCAGACACACACACCCCACCCTCTGCAGACACACCCCACCCTCTGCAGACACACCCCACCACACCCTCTGCAGAGTCACACCCCACCACACCCTCTGCAGACACACCCCACCCTCTGCAGACACACCCCACCCTCTGCAGACACACCCCACCCTCTGCAGACACACCCCACCCTCTGCAGACACACCCCACCCTCTGCAGACACACCCCACCCTCTGCAGACACACCCCACCCCACCCTCTGCAGAGTCACATATGCTATCCATATTTTAAATATAAGGGAACTTTTTTCTTTTTAGAGGGGGATTTATTTCTTAATTAGTTTATATATGTAATTTTATACCCACAACCCTATCTTCTCCCCCTTGTATTTTGGCTGTATAATTCAACTGTTAAACTAGCCAAGCTGTGAGGTTTGAAGAAAAGGGCTGAGAAATCTGATACAGCACCATGTAAGCCTAAGGCCAACACAATAGTGGATTCTTGGTCCAGGTATGAACCCTTGCAAACGGGTTAACTGGGTCACCAGACTTAACTTGTGTAACTTTTAACTTCCATAAATTAAGCTCACACAAAACATTGCCTTTAACCAGGTGTGGTGGCACACCTGTAATCGCAGCACTCAGGAGGTTGAGGCAGGAGGATCAGGAAACTCAAACCATTCTCCATTACATAGGAGTTCAAGGCCAGTCTGAGCCGAGTGAAACCCTGTCCCAACCCCATCCTCATCCAAAAACAGGAAACTTCAAGTTTAATCAGACCCCTTAAGAAAAAAAAAGATGTCCTTTTTATGTTTCTATGTATGCTGAAATGTGTTTTAAGACCTCTGAAGCCAGAGGCTGTAATGGGCCCAGAGGGTGCTCGTGGAATTCCTAAGGTCCTCAACAGTGCAGGCTGCGATGCTCAGTGAGAGGGTCCGTCTGAGCTCAGATCAGAAAAGCCAGCCACTTAACTTGTAGCTGCACCTGGAGCTCGTCATAGATGCACAAGTGAGCAAAATGTTCCTTTCCAGATTCCAAGTCACATCCTGGGCTGCCCAGCAAGCTTGGCCTTAGAAACATTGTGTCTGCCTGTTTATGCAACCCCGGGTATTAGTCAGTTCATAGTCTCCGGGAGAATTTCTAAAGTTCATTGAGCTCAACTCCACTAAACAATGCAGCTTATATTGCAGAGATCAAGAAAGAGGCAGTGACACCTGGGAAGGCTTCAAAAGGTCAGGGTATTTAAGAACCACACAGAAGGTTGCTAACAACATTGAATCCCAGTAGGACGAGAAGAAACATGGACATAACTGGTCTCAGAAATCCTAAGCCGAGGAACCTTTTAGGCCTGAGAAGTCATTAACTCCCCGTACAGTTTCTAACACATGCTCTGAGGCCGAATCACTTAGAATGTTGGACATGCCACAACAATTTCTTGCCTAAGCAAACAAAAGAACAGAAGTGCTTCTTAGGGAATAATTGGACATTCTCATTCACACAGAATTGTAGATGCCACCTCCAAGGACTTGCAAATATCTGAGTTCAGCACCAGACAGGCTGGGTGACCACAACAGCCATCAAGGAGCTGGTGTTCAAAGTGTTTCATGCTATACTGAGTTGAACCTAGCTCTGGAAGTGTAAGTTCGTGGCTTCTTCCCAAGATATGAGCAAGTGTCTGCAGATCAAAGATAAGGGAAACCTTGTCTGTTTTAAGCAAACTAGGCTGAGCAACACCTCCATAACTGTGGGGACTCGTGGATAAGCCATCAAAAACAACTTCCTTTCCTGCTAATCTCTTGAAATATGAATACCTCTGCTCTGTGTGTAAGAGTTCATACTTCTTTTTACCTTCAAAAGGCACAATTTATGAATTGTGCACGTTTTTAGAAGCATAAAATTCCAAGTAGCAGTGATTTAGATTGTTTTGGGGAAAAGATTTATTTTTATTTCGTGTGTGTGTGTGTGTGTGTGTGTGTGTGTATGTGTGTAGCATTGTAAGCGGTGTTGCCCTCAGAGGTCAGAAGAGGGTGTTGGATGTACTGACTAGAATGAAGGGTGATTACTAACCACTGTGTGGGTGCTGAGAACCGAGCCCTGGTCATTGCCTCAGCCCCACAGTCACATAATTTTAGTAATTAAATCAAACAAGGTAAGGGGGGTCACTCTAGAGAGTGTATATACAGCAACAAGATATTTCATTGCAATGAATGCAAAAGTGGTTTATAAGCTCATGAAAATAACACATCTTTTAAATTGTAAAATGTAGCTAAGTAAGAACTAATTTTGATGACCAGCACAGCATCTTGCAAAATATTCAATAAGCAGACATAGTACCAAAAATATAAACCTACACTAAAGGTGGGGTTTGGCAAATGTTCTCTAAAGGA